TGCTTTTTATGGGGTCAGGTGATGCTTTCAAATGACCTGAGTGTCATAAAACACCATCTGCTTTAAAAGCACCTTTTAAATTCATCAGCTTCACCCCTGGGTTACACTGCTGCTGTGAAATAATATTCAGATTTCTTCTGTCTGAAACACAAAATATTGCTGGCCTGTTTACTTGTCAGTGTCACTGCCATTCACATATAAACCAGCTAGTTCTGAATCAATTAGTTTGAGCATTTTAAATCACTATTACTGCATTAATATCACTCTACACAGGGCTAATATATGCTGGTTTTTAGTGTTGTGTAATGTAGCCTATTCCCCTTACAGCTTTAGTTAATGAAAGACTCTTTTCCACATTTTCTTCCAAAAACTGTTGTGTAACATCACTGTGCACTGTAAATAGCTTCCCACTTCCATCTGCTGTCTGCTCTGAACTGTTCTGGCTCACAAAGTTTTTGTTTTACAGCTTTTCAGCATAAAGCCAGTTGTAATTTCTTCTGGACTATGGCTACCAATAGCAGTGGCACATGAGGGTCATACTGTTCATACATTCTTACTAGTTAGGCAGAGTCTAGAAGAGTGCCTAAAAAAATAATTTTAATGAAAACAATGTAACAGATTGGACATCATGAGACCCCTGAGTTCAATGGGATACATCTTACTGATCAGCTGAGCTGAGCACTCTGAAAGGAAATGCCCAAGGCTCAAAGGCCCATGAAAGGCCCCACAAATATGATATGAATAACAACAATTCTACACTGACAAAAACATATTAAGATCATAACTAATATGGTGATAATAACTATATGGTGATCATAGTTATCATGGTTGATTCCTATTACAGATAGGAATGTTTGTGTTTGCTAACACACAAAAAAATAATTTTACCTATACCAGTCACTACCACAGTTTCCAACAAAGTTCAGACAAGCTGAGATAATTTGAATGATGCCAGGTGGTTCTGAAATGTGGTTGTATTGGGTTTGTGTGGCAAGGGTTTGGTAGCAGAATGGACACAGGGGGTGCCCTGTGAGCAGCTGCCAGGAAACTTTCCCCATGTCCAGCAGAGCCAATGCCAGATGGATCCAGGATGGACTCACAGCTGGCCATGGCTGAGTGCCAGGACCAGTGATGGCAGTAGCATCTCTGGGAAAATGTATTTATAAAGAGGGAACAAAAACCACAGCACCTCTAGCCAGAGAGAGAAGAATGAGAATATGTGAGAGCAACAGCTCTGCAGGTACTGAGGTCAGTGAAGGAGGTGAACAGGGAGGCAGCTGTGCCCAGCAGTCCCTGGAGGTCCAGGGGGGAGCAGAGATCCACCTGCAGCCCTGGAGGAGCCCACACCAGAGCAGGGGGATGCCTGAAGGAGGCTGTGATCCCATGGGAAGCCCGTGCTGGAGCAGGCTCCTGGCAGGACCTGTAGCCCATGGAGAGAGCAGCCCACACTGGAGCAGGTTTGCTGGCAGGAATTTTAACCCAAGCAGGGCCCCACAGTGGAGCAGCCTGTTCCTGAGGGACTGCACCCTGTGGAGGGGACTGGTGCTGAAGCAGTTCATGAAGAACTGCAGCCCATGGAAAAGAGTAATGTTGAGTAAGAGAAGTTTATGAAAGACTGTCTCCTATGGGAGGGACACCTTTCCATGGGAGGGAGCATAAGGAAGTAGGAGCAGCAGAGAAAATCTGTGATGTGCTGACCACAAACTTCTCTGTTCCCCTGTATTGCTCAGGGGAAGACAGAGAAATAAATAGAGTTGAGCCTAAGAAGCATAATGGAATAGAGATTTTTTTCTCTTTTAGATTTGTTTTTTCATTATTATTCTTAGTGCTCTACTCTCGTGTTATTAAGCAATAAATTAATTTACCTGAACTGCCTGTGATGGTAGTTGAGGAATGGTTCTCTTCCCGCTCTTATCTTGACCCACGAGCACGCTGTTTTCTCTCCCCTGCCCAGCTGAGGAGGGGAGTGAAAGTGTGGCTTAGGTGGGCACCTGGCAACCAGCCAAGATCAACCCACCACCTCACTTATGGCACAGGGAATCACAGTTTTACAATTCTATTTCCACACATCATGCTAATTAGATACCATTATTACTGTACAGTTTCTGTGATTACCAGAGTCTCTAGATCTAATTGCTTTTCTGGGTACAGTACAAACATCAAAGATATATATCTCTTTTCAAAGAATGTGAAATCTAAGAATTTCATGCATAAAAGCTTCTCAGTAATTCAGACTTTAAGAGGTTTCAGTAGGTCATCTAGGCCCCAAGAGCACCAAGGAGGGATCAACAATACCAATATAATTCCTTAGATTTGCTTAATCTATCCAATTAGGGAAATTCTGAAACCTCCTCAGGCAATGTAGACTACTGATATAATATTTGTATTAACAAAATGTTCTTAATATCTATTCTATGTCTTGCCTGCTACAACTTAATCCAAATACTTCTTTTCCAGCCTAAAAGGAACAGAACAGAGAGCTCCTGTCTCTCTGCCGACCTTAGAGACACTACTCTGAACTTTAAATATATCTTCTCTTATTTAGATGTAGCAGTCTTGATTAGTTTTCTTACATGCCACATTCTCCAGATCTCTAAATCTTCTTACTCTGCTGCAGACTCTCTATTGTTTTTGAAAGCCTGCACCTCTGAAATACAAAGTATTTTAGCTGAGGCCTTGAAAATATTGAAGGGAATAAGAGAAACACTTTGCACAACTCAAACCACACTCCCATTTGTAAATCCTGGCATGGTATTTACTTTTTGCACAGCAGGATGACTTTATTGACTCCTGTTCTTTTTTTTGTAGTGTGAAACCCCTCATTTATACCTTTTAAGATCTGTTTATTAAAATTTTTAGAGAGGTCCCTCTGCCCAAATTAAGGCGCAAATGAGACCATATTCTGAAGTCAACAGTACAGCTTTTATTAAACAGTAAATGTGAGGGGGAGAGAGAGAGATGGGGCGGGGAGGGGGTGGAGGGAAGAGGAGGGGAGAAAGAAAGTAACAGAGAAAAAGGTAAAGCAGAAGAAAATATGACCACTCCATAGATTCCAATGATGTCCCATTGGTCCTCTTCTTCTGGTCTTCTCAGTGATTGCAGTCTTGTTGAGGTGATGCTTGCAGACTTTATCCATCAAGTGGTGGAAGGAAAGAACTCAAAAACACCAGGTCCATGGGTTATACATTATGATGAGGCTGCGTGGAAATGCCTCCTGTACCTCCCCTGGATGATGTAACACTGGATCATGGCACATTTCATGAGTCTTTGACATCTTCTAAAATGTTGCAGCTGTCTCTTACCATTGTAGTTGAATCAGTCAAGACCCATTATAGCCCATCATCCTACATGTGACATACCCATCTTCATCCTACATGTGACTGTCCTGATACCTTGGAAGGGAGTTTTCACAGATGAGTCATCATGAAGGGAGGACATTGGCATGATAAGAAGGACTTATGGCCCCCCTCAGGATTTGTCTTTTATCAGCCTCCTGCATTATCTGGAAACCCAGCTTGTAGCCCCAAGCATGCACACCCTTCTGCACTCTGTGCTTCACTAGCAAAGCACTCACCCAATTGTTTGAGCTGTTAGCTCCAATAGCCCAGTCTCTCACAGCATGATTTGAGTCAATAATCACTAGCAATGCAGTCTCTCACAGTACCAACTACCTTCCTGAATCCTTGTTACCTCAGTCCCGTATTTGTGTAGTTGTGCACCTGTATTTCAGAGCAGCACCTTAGTCTTACTTCCACTAAGCAAGTTTTTATTTATCAGAAATTATACAGAAATTATAACATAAAAATAACTTTTTTCTCTTCTTCTCAATAAGCTAAAGTCCCTCTCCTTTCACCATTATCTAGTATAATGCTATCCATGTCACTAATGACATATAGATTAGTTGCCACACCAAGGAGTTTTCTGCCCCTTTGCTCAGACACTGACTCACTGATAACCAGTTGTAAATAATTTTCCAAGGACTGGCCATCCTGCACAGTGGCTTCATATAGACTCTGCGTTTCTAGCTAATTTATGAAAATTTCATGAAATTGTCTTGAAAGCCTGACCACAGCACAGATATATGACATCACTACTGCTCTTCTGTCCTTGAATCTTGCTACCTTCTTTAAAAGGAAATCAGAGAACACTGAATATTCAATAGAATAACAATAACAATAAAACTGATGAGAATATTTCATTTCAGTGGGAACTTGTGTTGCTGTTACTTATCTCTGTGCTACATGTAATGGATTTACTTTAGTGTCTTATAGCAGTTTATAATCAAGTCATCAACACAGAGAGGGTACAGCTAAAAAAATATCTCTTAAAAATCTGTGAAGAAGATACTAATTCCTAACAGGCTACACAAACTGCTGACTGTCTTCTGTTGTCTAAAGAAAACATTTTTCCTCCCTTTTCCGCTGTCTTTTTTAGATTCTAGGGTCAGGACAGTTTCACACAAGGTAGGACAGGGCAGGTGCCATGCCCACCTTCTTCTACTGCAGGTTCAGCCCCTTATGGTAACATTTAAGTATTTCTAAAATATATAAAGTAAGGTGTGCATAAATATTTATAAATGCATGCACTTTGTGAATTAATTTATACTTGCAAAAGTTTGCACATTGGTTAATAAGAGGAATCAATAATAAAATTTAAATATGAACAGAAAAAAAAATAAATGAGAAGAAAAAAGAGATACACAACCACCCATTAACATGACTGACAAACCCAATCCAGTTATACATATATACAGTGTCACTTGGTCAGTCTTTGGATTCTGTGCTGTGCTGCAAGATACAGATAATGTTGACTACTAAAATGGAAAACCAGAACAAAAATACAGCTTTACAGGAACATGTGCAGGGGCACAACAAGGAGAGTTTTCAAGGGTTTTCCCCAAAAGAGAAAAGCCACTGGTTAAATGATAGATGTGATGAAATTTCTGAAACAAACCCAAATTATCCAGTGTAATAATGACAAGGGCAGGGGATTACACTTACCCAAAGGCCTCCCCTGAACATGGTGCACCAGTAGACATGGCTCCTGTTAGGACAAAATACGAACTCCTGAAGGCAGCTTAGAGGTCACCTATACCTTACATAGCAGACTGGAATAACAAATTCAGGATATCTGCTAACATATCATCCATGGCTAAAAGTGCTCAACACAGAATTCATCATTCTCTTCAACAATATTGCAGCAAAGATCCAGCACAGTTGTTCAGACCTACACAATTTTTCTCACTCTAGTCCAGGGGGAAAATTGTGTTATAGCTGACAGCAACAGCATCTCAAAGAACAAGATCTTTGGGATGCCTTCTTGCATTGGGGAAACTTCAGACAAATCCACGATGGGTTTAGTGCATTATTTGAAGCAGCCATGAACAAAAAGCAGCCTTGTTAAGATATACCTCCTTTTCTAGTGGTAGAATGGGCCATCTTCCTCTATATTTCTTGTTTTATTCCTAGTGTTCAGTAGAGTTTACTATCCTTCTGCTTCTTCTGGTGGCTGGAACACAGAGCACCACCCATCCTTTTCCTTTTAAGGGTTTGAGAAAGGACAGCCCTTCAGGGCCGTGACATGTCTCTCAATAACCCTGGAGACCTCCTGCTTTGCCAGACCTCAGTTTGGCCACAACTGCTTGGAAGACATATCTGATCACATCTCTGGCCATGTTTTTAGCCACACTTTTAACATCTGGTTTAATAATTCCTGAACTACTAGAGAAAAATTATATAGCTTCTAAAAAGGGGTGTAGAATACGGCTCCTAGTCCACTTGGGATGTTTAATAATTCATGTACAAGGAGGTGTCCTTTTAATTATTTTGTTACTCAGTTTACCACTTACTCTTTACTCTTTATTTTTTTATGGTGGCTTTGTTAAAACACCAAAACCTTCCAGGTCATCAGATAAAATTCACAATCTCCTTTCCACTGTGAAATAAGACATGCTTGCTTTCATTTGTATTTATTTCAGTGCCTCCTCTATCAAATCAATATTGGTTTACTGGCACATAATGCAGTTTGTACTGTGTTTATGCGATGAGCTCACTGCTATTACCATTTTCCAGAACTCACCATAAGAATGGGACTAATAAATCTCAAACCAGCTGGTATTCAATAATGTTTAGTGTAGAAGTAGATGGAGATGAAAACCTTCCAGGCGTGTCAATGAAAAGAGAAACTGTCATTGGCAACCCCAGGAGAAGTTTCCAAAACCCATGCTAGTTTCCTGGCTGTATGAAAAATACGAGAATTTTCATCCATTTGAAGTTTTGCTTTCCTAGTTGCAGGACTAAAGACCAGATCCATGGCTGGTCAACAATTAAAGCTCTGTTGTTGGAGCTAATAAGTGTTTACACATTCCAGCAGTATGTATATGAATGAATAATGGACTTGCTGCAAAGATTAATGCCATGTCTTACCCAGCAGCACTATTAATATTATTCCAGCTGTCTGGGTATTGTATTTCTGCTAACCTCACCTCCCACTGGCCTGACGGCTTCCAGGGGCTTTGAATAGCTGTTTGGTAAAGTTCAAACTAGTGTTTTGTGGGGATATTCTGGTGCAAGCTTTGTTGGGGAGCATGATGTGAAAACTGTGGTTTACCATCCTTCTTTTTGTCCCACTCTGGCTCCAACTGCTAAACATCATGGACTGGAGAGGCTTTTATCCAGCTGTTAAATTTCTAGGGCAAGAAACACCCTTTACAAATAGCTGTTTCTTCCCTCTTTTTATTACTAGAAACTTTTAAATTTTGCTCTCAGTAGTGTTCACTTTTTAAAGCTCATAGGAATAGAATGTCCCTTGATACCTTGCTGAGTGTAGTCTACTAAGCAGTACATCTGACCCTTTCTCATAGTTTCAACTAATACCTATGAACATTTGTTCATAACTACTGTTAAATCTTTTGTCCTAAACATCCTCACAGTCTTCCTTCCAGAGTGGAGGTATCTTTACTCTAATTTTACACCAATTACCAGACATGGTTTTCCAATTCTTTGCACAGCTTGGATGTTTCACAGACATGTCTGACTCTGGCTGTAATGAAGAAGCTGTGGTTATAGTCCTTTATTATGAACTCAAATAACACACCAATGTAGCAAATGGTAACTGTGTGCTCTAAGACATCCCCATGCCTTTGCTTTGAGCACCCTGTTTAAGCAAAAAGTGACAAAGGCATCTACCTCATTACTAGTAACAAAGATGTGAAAATTATTTTAATTTAACAGCTTGTGTGAAGGCTGATTTAAGAACATCCATTCCCTCCTTGATCTGTAATTACTGAGGCAGAAAAAATGGTTTTAAGAGTTTCAGCTACTTGAGAACATATTCTGCCTTTCAGACACACAGTCCTGGCACACTTGGATAATATGTTCACCACCATTAAAATGAGCTTAATGCTGTTATTCTTGTGCATAGAATAGCCCACAAATACCTGTTACTTGTAAAGGACTTTTTCACAGATGTATGTATATTGTAAGTCTTGATTTACAAGACATGAGACCACCTGTTTATGTTCAGCTAACAGTATTTGAAACAGCTTGTTTCAAAAATGGGTCTTAAACTCCCAAAGCTTCCCAGTTCTCCAGGTGCACAGAAAATGTCTTTTAACAGATGCTGCAGTCTATCAACATGCTGCTACTCTATGCACACAGGAAAACATTAGGCAACATTTAAGTCATGTTCAATGAAATTTTATTTATTAATTGATCACTGGGATGATGGTGACCTGTCTCCTACTGTCACCATTTCCTTTCTTTCAAAGCTGGGTTTTATGGGCTATTTTACTTTTTTTTTTTTTTAATCCTGTGGTTCTAACAAGGAATAAAAACAATTCACAGAAAAATTGTGTCTTTTGTGTATTCAGCCAGGATTGTGTTTTAAGAAAGTGGTAGGAACTCCACATCAACGTAAGGATAAGGGAATACATGGAGCATAATCCCTCTCATGGTATTACAAGTATGTGTTAGAACACTGAGATGTAGACAAGAGTTACCTCACCTCCCTTTACACAAACTTTTGTTTTCATAATTCCAGCCCAACCATCTTCTCTTAAATGCACATGGTCTTTTTAGGAAAACATTTTGGGATGTAGATGTCCCTACAAACATGTAGTATTTTTTCCTTCTGGCTTTCAACTTTAATAAATCAATATTAACTGTATTTTCTAAAATGGAAAAAAGCTGCAGGACAGCCCCAAGGTGACTTGGTTGGTTTGAAGGCAGAAGAAGAGGGCCTCTTGGTCAGGTTCACAGGTCTGGTCTGTTGTTTGGATGAGCTGGGACTGGGTGGCCTCCTGGACAGTTTCGGGCTCACCCCTCTGTCCAATGCACATTCAGATCTTTTCATGTCCCCCCACTCCCTCTGACATACTCCTACACCATTTAACTGAACTTTCCTTTCATTTTGTTTTCTTTCTACTAACATCAAATATTCACTTAATTTCATTATCTCTTACTAAACATTTTCATATGCACACTTTATGAATAAAATCCTTCTATAGTATAAAGAAGTATAACTATGTATGAGCATACATTTATCCGCTTCATACATTTTCACCTGTGTCTTTGTAAAGACACAAAAATTCACATAGGTGTGTGTATCTGTGAGGGCCTTTGACATTATTTTGTGGCAAAGAAAAAGGTAAGGCTTTCAGCAAGTACAGGGGGTTCAGAGATCACATGGGATATGGCCACAACCATGACAAAATGGTGACTCCTGTGGACACAGGGAGGATTTCCAAGGTCTCATGGATTTGATACATTTCTAGGGTAAGAGGGTTGTATGGCTGGAATGGGGGAAAGGCTTCTGGTGACTGTGGTGATGAGACTTTTGAGGATTAGGTCTTCCAGCAGGAAGTTGGAGGAATGGAGCCTGCACCATCCGGCACCAAAGTCGTTCTTTAATTGAGACCAATGACATCTCCCTTGGTTGTAGCCTTTTCTTGTCCTCTCCTCATTTGTGTAAATCACAATAGAAATCTACACTGTTTCCACTCAAACAAGGAATGAAGAGAGGTGCTAGGCATAAAATCACTAGAGAGCAGTATATAGTAAGAATTAGGGAGTGAACTTACATATGAATACTATTTTAAAATACAACAGTAATAATTACAGAGAGTTTGGGGTAATTTGGCATTTCTTAGGCTAAGCAGATATATGCTGATTAGGATACAGAGATGATACAAGATATGTGAGGTAAAGCTTTTCCTGAAGAGATTAGAAGACATACTTTGAGTGAAAAACAAGAAACTTTTTTTTGGCTTCCTTATCTTCGGACAAAATAGTATGATCATAGCCAATTACCTTATCTAGGCAAAAAATCCTTTATATTGCTACTTAAAACAAAGACTAATCTTCATTCTTAATTAATTAATTCTATTTTTTCTAATTTTTATTCTGTATTCACAAAATCATGATCTATCTACCTTTCATAAGGTACGTAGAATTTGCCCTATAATCACTGAAGTGAATTGTTCTTTATTCTCTTTGCACCATAATTACGTAAAGGGAATCTTTTGAAAGAAAAGCCTTCTCTTTTTGGATTGGCTTTCTTGAACTCTCATGATTTACCAGCTAATGTTTAGGGGTGAAGAAACAGCAACACAGCAATTCAATCTCTGGATGAGGCTGAAAGCAGATGTAGATTTGGCTACAAGTCATCTTCGCTTTTCCAAAGATCATCTCCTCTTTCATCCAAGAAAGAAGGGTCACACCATACAGCAGCATCCAAAATGTGCTGTTCATCAAACAGATGATCTGTTGTGAATTCTAAACCCTCCATTTTTATATCATGATTGCTCCTGATTGTTCTTGCTCCAGTTAGAGGTCTGAAAGTGTTCAGCAACTATTGGTGCCAAGTTTATTGACTGTTTTTATGAACCAGTACATACTTGCTCATAGGCAATGTTATGTATCACATGTTCACCAGAAGTGGAAATGTGACAATATAAAACCACTGTTAATATGGAATGACTTTGCCCTGAGGGAACAATGAATTTGGAAAGAGAATTGCCATGCCAAAAACCTCGGGTTACCTCA